ATCCCCAGGTAAGCAGAGTCTGACTTAAACATAAAGTTCAAATCAAAGAAATAGACTGGAAAAATGAGCAAACAACAACAACAAAAAGAATTGACCAAAGAAAGCTACTATGGTGGTAGAGAAGACCAAGACAAACTCAGAAGACAACAATGTAAAAACAGCTACAAACAAAGCCTCAAAGAAAAATGCTCATTGGACCCAAGCCCAATAAGAATTCCTGGAAGAGTTAGAGATTAAAGTTAGAGATTAAGAGTTAGAAGTAAGAGATTAAAAGTGGTAGAGCAAAAATTGGAAAAAGAAATGAGAGTGATGCAAGAAAAGTATGAAAAGAAAATTAACAGCTTGGTAAAACAGGAACAAAAAATACTTAAGAAAAATAACACCTTAAAAAACAGAATTGGCTGAATGGTAAAAGAGACACAATAATTCACTGAAGAAAAGAACTCTTTAAAAACAAAACTGGCCAAATGGAAAAAAAGACCAAAAAAATCTCATTAAAGAAGGCAGCTAATGACTCCATGAGACACTTAAAAAAATGAAAAAAATACAAGAAAATGTGAACTATCTTACTGAAAAAACAATTGAGCTGAAAAATATATTGAGGAGAGATAATTGAAGAATTATTGGAATACCTGAAAGCCATGATCAAAGAAAAAGCTAGACATCATATTTCAAGAAATTATCAAGGTAAACTGCCCAGTATCTTAAATCCAGAGAGCAAAACAGAAATGGAAAGAATCCACTGATATCCTCCTGAAATAGACCACTAAACAAAAACTCCCAGAAATATTAAACCCAAGTTCCAAGCCTCCAGGTCAAGGAGAAAATACTGCAAGCATCCAGAAACATTTCAAATATCATGAAGGCACAATCAGGATCACACAAGATTTAGCAGCTTCCATATCAAAGGAATAAACGTCTTGGAATATGATATTCCAGAAGGCAAAAAAACTAGGATTACAACCAAGAACCTATCTAGCAAAACTGAGTATAAATTCTTCAGAAGGAAAATGAACATTTAATAAAATAGGAGACTTCCAGTTTTCGTGATGAAAAAATCAGAGCTGAGTAGAAAATCTGACATTCAAACACAAGACTCAAGAGAAGCATAAAAAGGTAAACATGAAAGAATAATCATAAGAGTCTCATAAAGTTAAAATGTTTATGTTCTTATATGGGAAGATGAGACATGTAACTCTTAAGAATTTTTATCATTATTAGGGCAGTTTAAAGGAGTTTACATAGACAGAGGGCATGGATCTGAGTTGATTATGTTGGAATCTCAAAAAAAAATGAAGGGGTGAGAAAGAGGGATGCATTGGGAGAAGTAGAATATGGAAAATTTTCTCACATAAAAGAGACACACAGGGAAGAACTTTTATGTGGGAGGGGAGGATGAGGAAGTAGGCAATGTTTGAACCTCATTTTCATTGAAACTGATTCAAGGAGGGAAGAATATACATCAACACTCAGTTGTGTATAGGATTTAACTTACCTAATAGGAAAACAGGAGAAGAGGATGGGGGGAGAAGGAAAAGTGTGTTGTGATAAAAAGAAAGGACAGATTAAGGGGGGTGACAGTAGGAAAATAGACTTTTTAGGAGGGACAGGATAAAAAGAGAGAAAGAAAAAGAAACATAAGAAAATGGGATGGAAAGAAACTGCAAATGTGAATGGGTTGAGCTCACCCATAAAATCGAAGTGGAAACCAGAATCCAACAAAACATTGTTTACAAGAGATACCCTTGAAAGAGAAAGACACACAGAGTTAAAATAAGGGGCTAGAACAGAATTTAATATGCTTCAGCTGAACTAAAAAAAGGCTGGGGTAGTAATCATGATCTCACACAAAGTAAAAGCAAAAATAGACCTAATTAAGAGGGATAATCAGGCAAGCTACACTTTGTTAAAAGGTACTATAGACAATGAAGTAATATAAGGAATTTTTACAGCAAGTTTGTCTAATAAAGCCCTCACTTCTCAAATATATATTGACTATAGAACTGAGTCAAGTTTATGAAAATAAATGCCATTCTCCAATTGATAAAAATGTCAAAGGACTAGTTTTCAAAAGAAGAAATCAAAGCTATCTAAAGTCATATAAAAAAAAAAGCTCTAAATCACCATTGATTAGAGAAAGGAAAATTAAAAGACTCCGAGGTACCACCTTACACCTATCAGAAATGACAAATGCTAGAGGGGATAAGGGAGGAATAGTGAACTGGTCCAATAATTCTGGAAAACAATTTGGAACTAGGTCAAAGGGCTATAAAACTGTATAACCTTTGACCTAGCAATAACACTACTAGGTATGTATCCCAAAGAGATTTAAAAAAAAAGGAAAAACACTGATACTTTATTTATAGCAGCTCTTTTTGTAGTGGCAAAGAATTAGAAATTGAAGGGATCTCATTAATTGGGGAATGGTCGAACAAGTTGTGGTATACGATCGTTATAGAGTACTGTCATGTTATGGGAAATAAATAACAAGGTGGGGTGGTTTCAGAAAAACACAGTAAGACTTATATGAACTGATGCAAAGTGAAGTGAGAAGAACTAAGAGATCATTGTTCACCGACAGTAACAGCAATGTTGTAATGATGATCAACTGTGAAAGACTTGGCTACTCTGATCAACTGAATGAACCAAGACAATTCCAAAGGACTTTGATGAAAAAATGCTGTCCACCACCAGAGATAGAACTGATAAACTCTGGGTGCAACTGAAATACAATCTTCTCACTTCCTTTATTTTTCTTGCTTTCCCCCCCCCGAAAACATGGCTAATATGGAAATAAGTTTTGCATGATTTCACATATATAGTTATGATATTGTTTGCCTTTTCTGTGAGTGGACTGAGGGGGTTGGAGGGAGAGAATTTGGCACTGAAAATTAAAAATAAAAGAATATTAAAAATAAATAATAAATTCAAAAAATATTTAAAAAATACATTTATTCTATCCTTTGATGTTTTATTATGTTATTAAACAGATAAAACTTTAAAACAATATTTTCATTACATATTTCCAGTGGGCTGGAACCAATGACCATATTTTACTTATAATTGTAATTTCAAATAGTATGAATTAGAATAATTCAACCACCTCAAAGGATTCATTTTTTTGCACTAATCAGCACATAACACAATAAAGAGTCAACATTTTCTGGGACATTGGTAACCCCATATTACAGAGCTCATAAAAAGCTCTTACAGACTACTACATAAATAACCACAGCTTATGTACAAATATCTTTTTCATTTGATTAAGCAGATAAATTCCATAAAGAATTAATAAGATTCTTAAAATGAAATCAACACATACTTTTAATATTAGGTGACTTCAATATAATGATAGGATTGAGAAAAGAGACCAGAAATAATGTTAGAAAATATAGTTAAGCAGTAGGGAATGTAAGCGAAGGCTTACAGACTATATAAAAGCCTCATCTCTATTCATTAAGAGTATTTTCTTTGAGAAAAGGATTAGGAAGTGCTGGATATGGTGAGCATAAAATAATATTACACAAAAAAGTGAAACTGGTTCTATTTTAACAGAGAGGAAATGACTTGTTAGTGAAATATGTGAAACAACTGCCTCTGTGTGCTCAGACTATGGACTTCTTATAAAGCAAAGATAAAAGTTAATACAAACTTGAAAAATAAAAAGGAGAAAAATATAAAGGGCACAATTTAGAACAACTTCAATCTGACTTATGTAAGTAAATTTTTGATTTAAAAAACATAAAAAAGTAAAGGGGAAAATATGCTGACCCCAGTCAGCTTGAAGATGGGTGACACTTTGCAAATAATCACTAGATACTTGTCAGTCTACTTTAATACAGCCCATTAGAGTGGGAGAAGCAGTGACGAATAGTTGAAAGAGCCAGCCATGACCCAAGAAGACCTGGGTTCAAGTTTTCTTGCTAGGTGAACATGATCAAGTCATTTAACCCCAACTAAAAGTATACGTTGTACAACAGTTGCTTTGGTAGAACAGGGTTTCCTCAGCACAGACTGCCTAAAGCAATGAAATGACAGATCTGGGTCCTTATACCCTCTCTGTCCTCATTTAGTGTGGATTATTTCATGGAATTATTATAAAGAATACGAGATACAAAACGTGGACGGTGATTCAAAATAAAACGTGGGTTACTTTAGGCTGCCAAGAAAAACAATAAGAAATGTGTTTGACCACCACATAAAAGTAGATGCCTGCCAGGACACAAACCTTAATAAAAGGCATGAAGAGTTTGGTTATAGGGTCTACTGAGATGGTTACATAGTATGGGAAAAAGTAATAGCAATAACTAATGTTTATACAGTTTATAATTTCAACATACACTGATCTTCACAACCACCTGGAAGTAAGAGAGGTACTATTATTCTCATTTTCACACCAGTAGCATCAGGCTCTGAGAGGTTGAGGAATTAGTCTATGTCATGGAGCTATGATGTGTCAAAGCAAAGCTCTGAGCCAGGTCTCCCCTGATCTCAAGGCCACAACTCCTCCCACTAGAACAGACTGCTTCCAGAATGAAGAACAGATCTGGAGCTTGGAGAATCAGGTTTAAGTCCCAGATTTACCACTAAACTTCATTACAGGGCTTCCCTAAGCAGATGAATAGAGACTAAGTACAGTACACAGTAAATGTCTTAATTCAGATTTACAAGTTAGTATAACAACAACAGATAGATTTTACTATTAGTACCAAGAAGCAGAAAGAAGGGGCTAAATTCTGTGTAGTAGCAAAAAAGACCATGTTTAGGGATAAACCGTGGGCAACTGTCATAACAACACTGTACCATCATTATCCATTGTTTCAACCTATAAAAACTGACATATACATAAACAAATCATATTTATCTTAAGATGATATGAAGACAAAATTTAAAGGACTATTTTATTTTTGGTTGTACATCTAGAAAATGAATAAAACTGAATGGCTTCACTGCATCAGCTAAAATGTTATCAGCACATGACAAATACATATAGTACTTACCTCTTGTATCTGGGTTTATCCATGATGTTGCACAGTGAATTTTCAAAGGGCACCCATTAAAAACCTTTGAAAAGCAAGCACCCATCTGAAAAAACAAAACAGAGCCAATGTGCATAAGTAACTGACCAAAAGGTTAACGTGGATAATTTATATTTTTAAAAAGAGGCATCCAGAATTGTTGGTAATTTCCCAAATAAGACAATTTTCCTAACTGTAAGGCCAATATGTAAAGAAGTTTTAATGGCTCAAGATTTTGAATATGTTAGAGAATGAGGAAAGGAAAAAAAAATAATCAAATATTTTTTATTCCTTCTGACTTTCTGAGTAAATATGACAAAAGAATATTTCCCCCCCTAACAATTTATGTCTGATACTAGCTTAATAATTAATATGAAAAGTATTATAATATTCTAGGATAACAATAAATTCAGAAGAGTCACAAAGCCAAAGATTTTTCCCTCTGTTTTGCTTATAAAATGATTCTGATGGCTGAATTTAACATCTGGGAAATGAAAAGCAATATAACTGAAAGTAACTACTCTTTTTCCCTGAGTCTCATGAGAAATGTGCCTAGTGGTTTTGTTGTATATAACCTACATTTTTTCTTTCTAGAAAGCTTCACAGAATTTCATAAGAATTTAGATGATGTTAAAGTTCTTCAAACTTTGAGATTTCTGATAAGTATCTTGCTAAGACAATGCTTCACAATTGAATTTTGCTTTATGTTGCTTAAGAGGTCCAATAAAACATCAACTGAAAAGTTCTCACTTTGGTCACAATCAACACTTGTTTTAGACCATTTGCCAATTTAACTTATTAAACTACTCAGAATAAGTGTAGAGAATATGGGTAGAGCTGTGAAACTGTTTATGTTTGATCAGATAAAGTCTTTTTTCCAAAGTTATACTAAGTTAATCTTTGACATACTAGGCATCACACTGCAACATCAAGGGAAGTAGTAAGTTGAGCAACATCAGAGAGGCAGGACAAATACTTGTGTTCAACACTAGTAATTAAAATGAAGTTTTGCTCAAGCCACATACTTCAAATAGTTTAACTAATATTTCACTTTACTCACATATAACTAATAATCAGTATTTCCAAGTATTTTTTAAAAGGGGTACAATTCTGTCTGGAATTAGTATTAAGTGGTAGAAGGAGATCAATTTTAAAAAGATAAGGTAAAACTCATGCTGTACTATAGAAATCACACAATTTTAATAAGATACTCTAAGATAGTGAAAGGATAGATCTGTGACTTCACTGGTAAAGGGAATTCTAAGATTGAAGAAGCTTCTTTTACCAATGCAGGGCAGCACCTTCTTTGCAATTCACAGTTTAAGAGATTAAATAACTTGACCAGGGCCACACAGCCAGTGTGTGTCAGAGGCAAAAACTGAACCCAGGTCTTCCTAACCATTAGGCTAGTTTTCTATTTATTTCACAATGTTGCCTCTTGCTAAAATATCTGAAAAAATAATTAGAAATTAATTAAGGCAACATTTGCCCTTGGAAATTGAAAAAAAAAGAGCCATAATCTAAAAGTGAATATAAAAATAAAAACCAACAGCTAAAAAAGTCAATGCTAGCTCTGAATTAAAATAATCAGTATCATGTCATACAACAATGACTCTCAGTAAACCGATATCACATCTTTGAAGTCTTAAAATAATATTAAGGTTAGCATTTATCTTACTTGGTTAATTGTATCAGGATTAAATATGAGGTACTTAGCAGTTTTGTCTATACTAGCTGAATTTCTGGTCTTCCTAAGAGTGCACTATTGTTGCACATTATTCACATCCTCAATGTGTGTGCATGTGCGTGCATGTGCATGTATTCATGCATGGTATTTTGCTAAGAAATTGCTGAATTTTTTGGATTTCCATGCATTCAAACTATATGAGAATGGGAGGCAAAACACTGAACTATGGATACTCTCTTTGGAACACTAGAAATGTCTGCAGTTTATAGAATTTCCAGCTAGAATGGACTTTGAAAATGATCTACTAACCTTAGTTTTGTAAATGGGGAAAATGAGGGCTAGAAAGGATAAGTAATTAGATTAAGGTCACATTGTTAGTGACAAATAATAATGCTGGGATTTGAATGCTGGTCCTCTGATTCTGAATCTACTGCTTGAGTAGGAATTTAGGCCGCAGATAGAATAGTGAATGATAGGTACAGAAAAAAGATCACGGGTATGGTGTTTGTAATATTTTGAAAAATCAAGCCATATACAAGCTAATGTTTTAAAATGTGTATTTTTAATCATACAGCATTTATATCACAGGTGCTTAAAAACTGTTCTTTGAATGTATAATATATTCTCATTTCTTCATTGTGACATTTTCATATTCTTTGAAATTAAGATAATAATTTTTAACATTAAAGCAGTTTCCTTCTGTAAGAATCAAATTTGAAATGCTAATATTAAAATTCAAGTTCAAGTGATTCAATTGAAGAATAAACATTTATTAATTAAATTAATATATGTTTAAGGCTGTGAGGCAAGTTCTGGGTACTAAAACAAAAAGGAAAAAGGCCTGGCCCTGCAGGAGCAGTGAAGATTCTACTGTGGAACTACAAAAGGCACAAATTAAATACACAGACCGAACGAGGAATTTCAAAAGAGAGAGGGTGCTAACAATAAGGGAAATGAAGAAAGGTCCTGATGTGATAATAAAAATTTTGCTAATTTTGAATTTCTAATATTTTGTACTGTGGGAACGGCAACAGAAATATTTTCAAACAGGCAAATAATTTACCCAATGATTCAAATGAATACCAATAAACAATCTATTTTTCTATATTTTGTTGAATAACTTACTTTTTTTATTATTTAGTACTTACATGCACTTTAGGTGTTGGAGGAAGACCGTTGCTAATGGGTTTCTAGAAAAAGAAATACATTGGGCAAATTGTAAGTATAGACTTTATAAAAGGTTGACTTAATTTCAAGGTTAATGTTAAAGATTATGAATTAACAACAAAAAACAGAATTAAAAACTACTGTAACTAGGAAATACTGGAGGAGGGGGGAATCCTAATAAATAAAACCCAAAAGATACAATTAGATTCAAGCCTCTTGAAAAGAATAAACTTTAGGCTAAGTACTAACTTACAGAAAGTAATGACTTCCAAATTCTAGCCTCTACCCAATTTTTTTTTTACTTTTTAGATAAAGTATTTTAAAGATAAATTTCTTCATGTTAAATTTACTATGATCTCAATTGGTATTACTGTCAACTCCTAAAGAGAACTCTCTAATGAATTCAGTTTACTTTTTTTCCTTAAATTGAGGTTCCTAGGATTATTGTGTTATATCATCAGTTTTACTTAACTAAAATTTTAAATTACATGTCTCCCAAAATGTACAGCAGTTACAACCAATGTCAATAATGTATAAACCTGGCTGTTTTTTTTTAAAGATTCCAAACAATTATATAGTTTTGAGTATAACCTAATAAAGAAAATTACAACTGAAAAGGGTTTTTTTTTTTTGCTGTTGTTATTAATTCTCTTTTCTAATTAGATTGGACTTGTAAGGCAAGTTTGGAAAAAAACCCAGCACAAATAACTAAGAATGCATAAATTTTTGAAAATAAAAAGATGAGTTTTCTGTTAATGGTGGAAGTAATCTACTATATTTTAAATTCTTCCCTGTAAATTTGCATGCCTTTACCTATATGGGACTATATGTAACTCATTCAAAAAATATCCAACATTATATTTTTCTCAAAAAAAAATCTAAAACCTCTCTAAGATGTTACAGTGCTTTATAATCCACAGCGATACAGTACAAAGCCTTTAGCTGCCTATATGGAGTATGTTACCATACATATTATGGAAGAAAAACTTAAGTGCTCTACATTTTAGATCACAAGTCTGTTAAAGACATTTTGCTAGACAGACAGAGACACAAACAGAGACACACACACACTCATTGCTTAAGGGGAAATTTAAAGGCAGAGTTAACTAAACTCTCTCTCCTCAGGATGAAATATATATTTTATAGTATTCAAGAAAAAAAATCCAGTCAAAATTAAGCAAAGATGAAGACTCTGAGGTTAGGTAATAGTCTCTAACTTGTCTAATAGGGATAAAGTATCTGAAAATGTAAGCACACACTATGAAGAGTCATTTTTCCTATGACCATTCAATCTTTCTGGTCAAACAAAAGCAACCTCAAGAGGAAATTCTAATAATTAAAGACTTCTTACTTTCTTTATGTCTAACCATTTAATTCTGACCTAAGTCACTTCAGCGAGGAGTCCTGCCTGGGTTGACTAGGCCTCCAACCTTTAGGAAGTGGTTAAAACTTAAAATGATGTAAAAAGATTTCATAGCAGTATACAGTTTCTGAGCTGACAGTTAAAGAAAGACTGATAAGGTTTCTTATTCAGATCAGATCAAACAGTAAAGAGAAAAAATGATTTCATAATATCTCTTTTTTAAAAAAGAGGGACTTAGTACAAGTGCACATGTGCTGCTTACTGATGAGAATGTTTCTAACATGATAAAAATATCACTTTAATTTAGCTAGTATATACAGAATTTAATGAAATCTTTTCTTGACTCAATCTCATAGGGATCTTCTCTTTGAGAAGGAATAAGAATTTTTTTTCCCCAGCAACAGATGGACATCTATATGTAGCTGGAGTTTCCTTTCTAAATAATAAAAAATGTTTTATATTTTTATCGGACATGACAAAACTATAAATAGCTATGAGTCTGCTTTCAGCTTTTTCTCAAGCGACCTACGATAGTTACAAAAAATTCATCTTGATTTTTCCTCCTTCACTCAGATTATTTTCTCTGAAGATTAACAATGATACCACTAACTTTGTACTGGGCAGTTCAGGTCAGAGTCAATTAGTGCAGGGGGAGATGCTACAGCTTTCCTTATCCTTAGTGGGGAGATGGAGCCTTCTTTCCACAAAGAGAGTAGGGAGAGATTTTTGTACTCACTTTTTACTGACGCTGATGGCTAAAGATAAAACAAGTTTTACCCCAATAAAAAAAGGAGTGCTTCTACATCCTCAGAAGCACAAATTCTGTAATGTATTCTGGTACAACCAAGTATTCTAAAATGTGTGTGTGTGTGTGTGTGTGTGTGTGTGTGTGTGTGTGTATATGTGTGTGTATACATATATATATACACATATATATACATATATATACATATATATGTATATATATACACACACATGCACATATATATGTATGTACATATATACATACACATATACATATATATATATATATGTGTGTATATATATTATTGAAAATGTATCACTTATGTTTAAAGTAACAAAACCTGTGATTTTTTTCTGAGGTACTCTATTTCAGTAATTCATTCAATCACAATTAGTTAAATAGAAATGAGTAGTACTTATGTTTAAATTACTTTACATTTTGGTTTTATCATTGCATTTGTAGAATTACAGCATTACTGTAATAGTGAAAGAGGGTACAAAAGTACAAATGCAATTTACAAATAAATACATACGGGTACATCCTTCTTTTCTTTCCTTGAAAGGTTTGTGCCCCTATTTTCATTCTGCTGCTGGTATAATGAGCCACTTCGTTCACCATTCAGCTGGAAGGAGTTCAGTCCATTACCTTAACAAGATATGTTTAGTTACAACACATTGCATGTTTATGAGTACTGATACTACATTAAGGAATTTCTCATTTCTGTCTAAGGGTACTTCCTCAAATTGAAAAGAAATAGGCTTTTTGAAACAAGAAGTCTTATACACAATTTTTTCCTTATCTTATATCTCTAATATTTTCTTACAGAACAACATTTAAACTAGATAAATGAAAATTATTCACTAACTTAAAAATATCACAAGATATTTTTAAGATCAGAAATTTAAAAAAACTCCTCCAAACCAGAATTTCAATTGTAGACAATATTTTCAATAAAATTTTATCATCTTTACTGTGAGAAAAAGCAGAAAAGATGGATACATCATTCCCTAGTTCCTGCCCCCAAATGGCATTGAGATTCAATTTCTCAAGAGTTAAGATCCCCTATTTCTTTCTTCCCCAGGCCATATGATATGTCCAGTGTCAGTGGAGTTTTCTTTTAATTAATTTTTTTTAAGGCAGTTGGGGTGAAGTGACTTTCCTAGGGTCACACAGCAAGTAAGTGTCAAGTGTTTGGTCTGAGGTCAGATTTGAACTCAAGTCCTCCTGACTTCAGGGCCAGTGCTCTATCCACTGCGCTACCTAGCTGCCCCTAGTGTTGGTGGATTTTACTTGGCTTTTCCTCTTAATACCTAAAACAGCAGGCTTCTGTGGGGGTAACCGGGGAGGTGGTGGTCTGGGGGGAACTTGTGATGGCTTTGCTGGACTCTCAGGCACAGGACACCTCTTGATTGTTCCTTGATTATCATCCTCAATGGCAGGAGTTTCCTGTGGTATGTAGATGGATTTAGGCTGAAATGATACATAAATGTTATAAGGATATACAGTTAAATACAATTATTTTCCTGAAGGAAAAGGGTTATATAATGGATCTAATAAAACATGTCCTTTGAAAGCTTAAACATCTGTGAGGACAAATCGTCATTCTTTATCTGATATCAGAAACTCAATCTGTTGAAACAATTAAAAAAACTGCAAACACAAGTTTAAATTTTCCTATTCAAGTCCTTGGAAATATCAAATAAATGAAAGCAATGAAAGAGTGATATCTTAAGCAAAGAGTAAATGTATTTTTGATAACTTTAGAGTGTTATGCTTGAGATGTGCCATTCAGTCTGGAGTCAATAGTATCATTTTTACATATAAATGGTAGAACATATCTTTTAAAATTTATAATTGTGAATTAATGTCTGTACTGGGATTCTTAACCTTTTTTGCATCATAGACCTCTTTGGCAGTCTGATGAGGCCCAGGCATGACTTCTCAAATCAAATATTTAATGTGATTTTTTTTAAGGCAATTGGGGTTAAGTGACTTGCCCAGGGTCACACAGGGTAGTGTCAAGTATTTGGTCTGAGGTTGGATTTGAACTCAGGTCCTCCTGACTTCAGGGCTGGTGCTCTATCCACTTCAGGGCTGGTGCTCTATCCACTGTGCCACCTAGCTGCCCCTCAAATCAAATATTTAAATGCATAAAAGAAAATACATAGTCACAAAGGAAACCAATTACATTGACACATTCACAAAATCTATCTTAAAAAAAAATTCCAAATTCATGGATACCAAGTTAAAAAATTCTAGTCTATGCAGATGATTTCCAAATCAATATATCTCACTTACATCCTTCCCAGTTACTAGTCTTGTACCATTTTCTATTTCTATTTCACCTATTCCTCATATGTATCTCAAATCCAAAATGTCTAAATGACATTGATCATCCTTGCCCCTAAACCTGTCCCTCTTTCTAACTTTATTTCTGTTCAGAGGATCATCATCCTTATAGTCACTTACCTGTTTACAACCTCATTCCCAACCCTTCCTTCTTTCTCTTCACCCCTCCTCCACCGTAACCAAGAAGTTGCCTTATCTCGTCAATTGTACTTCCACATCATTTGAACCTCTTATGCTGATGATTCTCAAATCTACTTATCTAGCCCTCACCTCTAGTCTGGCATCTCCAAATGTCCATTACACAGCTCCAATGTCTTTTATTTTGCATTAGAGCTGTCCCTGGTTGGAATATCTGAGTTGCTTTCCTTCTTTTTCCATACCTTTTCTCCCCATTCCCTGAGTACTTTCTATAAATCTACAATATCCTAAATTGGATAGTTTCTATCTTCAAGAAGCTCATGGACTAAGCTTCATGCTAAGAAGAGAGATGAAAGAGATTTATTTCCAATCTAAAGATTACAAGGAAAGTTGGAAAGAAGGCAGAGGAGTGAAATAGAGAGCTTTTTCACTCCTCCAAGAGTTAGGTTTTTATTATTTATTTTTACTATGTAAATTTATATTTACAGTCCCTGAATATATCATATTCAAATCTAGGTGTCTGCATACACTCACACACATTCTAAAGCTAATTAAAAATAAGTTTGAATTATAATCTATAAAAAGCTTTAAATTATCCACAACTTCTGTATGTCCATTACTAGTTATCACTGACTTAAAAAAAAATATTTATTCACTACATAAAATACAACCTTGAAGGATTAAATTGCAAACAGATCAACAAAAATGAAACCCAAAACATCATGTAGTAGTCTTAGCAATTTAGTCAATTTTTCTTTACTACTAGATCTTCACAGAAAAGTTGTCTATACATGCTAGAGATATATCAAAGAAAGTTATTAGGCTGCAGGCTTCTAACAAAATGGCTTTGAAAGTAATAGAACATCTAGACATCATCTTTCAAGAAATTATCAAGGAAAACTGCCCTGATATTCTAGAGTCAGAAGATAAAATAGAAACTGAAAAAATCTACTGCATCACCTCCTGAAAGACATCTCAAAATGAAGACTCCCAGGAATATTATAGCCAAATTCCTTCCAAGTGAAATGAGAAAAGACTACAAGCAGCCAAAAAGAAACAATTCAAATATCATAGAGCCATAGTCAGGACAACATGAGATTTAGCAGTTCCTACATTAAAGGACCAGAGGGCTCTGGAGGGAAAAAGAGCTAAGATTACAAGAATCATCCACCCAACAAAACTGAGTATAATCCTTCAGGGGAAAAAAAATGAATATTCAATGAAATAAAAGACTTTTGAACATTGCTGATGAAAAGAACAGAGCTGAATAGGAAATCTGACTTTCAAATATAAGACTCAAGAGAAGAATAAAAAGGTAAACAGGAAAGAGAAATCATAAGAGTCTTAATAAAGTTAAACTGCTTACATTTTTACATAAGAGAATGATACTTGAAACTTCTAAAATCTTTCTCTTATTTAGGGCAGTCAGGAGTATACATCTACAGAGGGCACAGGTATGAGTTGAGTATGACGGGATGATGACTTAAAAAAAATAAAATTAAGGGGTGAGAAAGAGAAATGCACTGGGAGAAGGGGAAAGGGAAGAGGTAGAACGTTAATGGACATAAAAGAGCTTTTATAGTGGAGGGAAAGATGGAGAAAGTAGCAGGGAATGCTTGAACCTTACTCTTATCAGAATTGGCTCAAAGAGGGAAAAATATACACACTTAATTGGATATATAGAAATCTATCCTGCCATACAGGAAAGTAAGAGGGGAAGAAGGTGTGTGTGTGTGTGTGTGTGTGTGGTGGGCAGTGATAGAAGGGAGGGCAGACTGGGGGAGGTAAGTCAGAAACAAAACACTTGAGAATGGACAGGGTGAAAGGAGAGCGAGAGTAGGATAAATGGGGAAAACAGTATGGAGGAAAGTATATAGTACTTTGTGAAAAAATTTTACAGCAAGTTTCTCTGATAAAGACTTCATTTCTCATATATACAGAGGAAGGGAGTTCAAATTTATGGAAATAAGAGCCATCCCTCAATTGATAAATTGTCAATGGATACGAACAGGCAGTTTTCAGATAAAGTATTTAAAGCTACCTATTGTTATATTAAAAAATGCTTTAAATCACTATTGACTGCAAATTAAATTACTGAATTATTATTATATATTATAATATAAATTATTAAATTATTGAAATGCAAATTAAAACAACTCTCAGCTACCACCTATCAGATTGGCTAATATAACAGAAAAGGAAAACGACAAATGTTGAAGGGGATGTAGGAAAATTGAGACACTGAAGCACTGTTGGTGAAGTTGTATGCGGATTCAAACATCATGTAAAACAATTTGGAACTACATACAAAGGGCTACAAAACCATGCATGCCATTTGACCAAGCAATGCCACTATTAGGTCTGTATCCCAAAGATATAAAAAAATAAAAAGGAAAAGAATCTATATGTACAAAAATATTTATACCAGCTCTTTTAATAGTGGCAAAGAATTGGAAATTGAGGGGATATCTATCAGCTGGGAAATGACTGAACAAGTTGTATAAGATTGTGATGGAATACTATTATGCTATAAGAAATGATGAGCAGAATGTTCTCTGAAAAACCTGGAAAGACTTACATGAACTGATACAAAGTGAAATGAGCAGAACCAAGAGAACAGCAATATAGTATTATGATCAGTTGTGAATGACTTAACTATTCTTAGCAATACAATGTTCCAAGACAATTTTGAAGGATTTATGTGAAAAACGTTATCCATCTTCAGACAGAAATGATGCAATCTGAATGCAGATCAAAGCATAATTTTTTTTTTACCTTTCTTAAAAATCTGTTTTCTTTCATAACATGACTGACATGGAAATATGTTTTACATGATGGCAAAGGCATAACCCATATCAAATTACTTGCCTTCTCAATGAAGCGGGGAGGAGAGAGAGACAGGGAGAAAATATGGAACTCAAAAAAATTTTTTAAAGAAAATTAAATATTGTTCTTACATGTTACTGGTGAAAAATAAAATATTAAATTTAAAAAATGAAAGTAATAGAACAGAACTATTTTAAATATCTCCAAAATCTGATAAAGAAAATAAACTTACTTACCTTTGGTGGTAAAGGAGGTGGAACCTTTGCTTTCATAGTTGAACTAAAAAACAGTAAACTGTAAAATTAGAACCTTCATATGAAGTTTTAGAAATACAATATCACCAGATGTAATTTTTCTTTAAGCTCAAAGGAATAGTCTAAGTTTTTCATTTTAAAATCACAGTACAAATAAGTGATGGATACTTTGTCAGATCCTGAAGATTTTTATAAATCTACTGAATGAAATGTCAGTTTGAAATCTATGGAGCAGATATGCTTTCAAAATTTTTAGATATTATACTGTAATTAAAATTGGAAAAGAAAATTACTTCCAATTTTTAACTGTTTGCAGGATAATTAGTTAACATGAAAATGTAAGCAAAATTTGAAAAAGATTTAGGTAAGCGTGGCAAGATGACGTTTGAGAGAATATTCACACTATAAAATTAATTCCTATTACCATTAGGCATGAAATAACAATGCTGAAGAACTTATAAAAACTTTATCTAGTTTCAACTGAAGTACTTGAGAGATATGGAATATATATTTTTACACGACAGAATTTATTTTATTAAAAATATTCATTTAATAACATCATCTGAAATTGTGCCATAAACATAATAGGCACTTAACTTTTTAAAAAAACATTGAATTCTATGGAATTTTAAAGTGAGAAGGGACCTTGTAGATCATCCATCTAATTCAATAATGATCTCCACTAGAGCCCTGCTTTAATGTCTTCTCATGGCATGAAGCCTGCCCTAGGTTCTTCAAGGGTTCTCAAGGGATGTATCAAAGTGGACAGGCTGTGAATGTGAGACTAGCTATGAATTATGTCTGATGTTCATGAATCAAGCATAGATTAGTAGTTTGGAGAGGCTTATCACCACCACCACCATGGAGGATGATGAATGTTTTGACCATAACAGATTCTTAAAAAGCATCTACTAAGTTATAGTTTATGATATCATCTGTCAGTGGAAGGAATGGTTAAACCAATGAAATTAGAGATTCTTGAAAAAATGAAGTATTTAAAATGAAACCTTCCCCATTTCCTCACATATATGTATAGTACAGAGTTTCCTAAAAGTCTCAGTGTAGTTTTAAGGCATTAAAGCTATATAAATATGAACGCATATGCACGCGCGCACACACACACACGTAGATTTTATTTTAAATACTTCATGTGTCATCTGAATCTGTGATGTCATAACTCCCATAGTGGAAACTCCTTCTAATAATACCAGATTGTCAACTTGTCCATAACCTATAGTTCTAAGAGAGCTAAGGGGACAGTTAAGATTACCTACTGGTAATCCTGTGTATCCAGCCGGCAGATACACAGGATCAGTAATGCCAAGCTGCCCTTTTCAGGTGTTTATTCTGTCTTCTCTTTCTCTTTCCCTTTCTGTCTCTCTCTCTCTCTCTTCCCATAAAGTAGGTCCTTAATAGATGTTTGTTCAACTCAATCATGTTTAATAACAAAACTTAAACTAATAATAGCTTTACTGAAGAGAATAAGGCTACTAAATCAGCAACTGAGATTCATGGGAAAGTTTTAATGAAAAACTTTTTTAAAAAATGTGGGCAATCAACAATTATGGAGAAAAGCAAAGAAAGAAACAGTGGTACAGTCTGAGACTACTGATTGCTTTGAAAATTATACTATTATATATAATGTTTAATCAATATGAAATCTTTTACTCTCACCATGAATGGCATATAAGATAAATTTTAAGGACTTACTGTTTAGATTCATCGTCATCTCCTTCCTCATCTTCTAAATGTGCCACATGTCCCCTAAAGAGATTAGAAAAATAAAATGGCTGAAAGGACTTTACTTACCAACTTAAAATATGATAAACAGATAAAGGGATCTTAATACACAGTGAAAAAAATACCAGTTTGAATACTTAGTAAATACTTAGCTTAGAAAAAACTTGATTTTGTTGGTTTTGTTTTTTACAAAGAGGCAAATTGAAATTATTACGGACAAAGATAAGTGTATAAAATTTTTAAAAATAGTACAGATGAAAATTACCTCTGATGTAATTCTTCTTCAACAGACTTCAAAAGACTCCTTTGAAAATCAAAACAAAAACATTCAGTAAACATATACAAGCAGAAGATAAAACAACTTAGACTTTTATCATTTGAGATATACAAAAACAGCACCATTTATATCTTTAAACAGTTTCAAGAATATATGAAAAAAGCTAGATGCATTTCTTTCTCCTCTTTAAGCACTAAAACAACATTTAGTGATGGATTACCATTAATTTTGCCTACCAACTTAAAATATGATAAATAGATAAAGGGATCTTAATACACAGTGAAAAAAATACCAGTTTAAAGAGAAGACTATAGAAAGTCACATTTAAGAATGACAAAAAAAAATTCAGGCTTATCTTCAGGGATTTTTAAGATTGATAACTGAGAAAACAAGAGTTCACCTAATATTTTCTCTTTCTCAAAATAAAGAATATAACATTTTTCAAAAATCATGCTCCCAGACAATCCTACAAAATGAAACATGTCGGACCTCTCTGCAAAAGCATGCATGCATGTGATGTGAATACATGAATGTAGCAGCACTTTGCTTTCACAGAAGACAAAGTTACTTACCTGTAGAAACTGTTCTCCAGGGGTGTACTGGCAAACAAATTTACACTTTGGGGAGTTTGAGCCTGAATTAGACCAAATGGAAGGATACTACATTTAGGCCCATTTCAAAGATTTTTTATTGCCAGGAGAGGAACAGGAATACTAAAGCCTTCCAAAGACCACTTAATTCTTATCGCAAAATCCTCTACTGCAAGGATTCTTAACCTAGAGTCCTTGAACTTATTAAAAAAAACTTTTTTATAACTTTATTTCATTATAGTTTTACTTTGTAATCCTATATATTTTATTTTATGCATTTAAAAACATTATTCTGAGAAGACTCCATTGGATTCACCTGACTGCCAAAGGGGTCCAGGATACAAAAAGTAAAGTACTCATGCGACAGTGAAATGAGTAAATAACCATGTCTTCTATAATAACTCAAATATGCTTCCTAAAATTGAAGGGATAGAGATTAATAAGAATTTATTTCCTGATTTACCATAAAATAAAAGTTATGGTTAACACAATGTGTTTTCTCTAAGGTTAAATAAGCTCCTACTAGATGCTGAGCACCGGGGACAGAAAGGAAGCAGTCTCAGCCCTTATGGAATTCACATTTTATCAAGAAACAACATGTTCACATAAAAGCAAAAAAATATATACTGAAAACAGATACAAGGCATTTTTTTTTTTGGTGGAAAGAAAAAGGCCAATCAGAAAAGGCTTTTGACGTCAAGATGGAGCTTTAGCTGAGCTTTGAAAGGAACTAGGGAGAAGTCAAGGAAGTGAAGGTGAAGAAGGAGTGCATTCCAAGCATCTGTGAACGTGTGGAAATGGGAGAATGCAGTGTCCTATGAGAGGAAGAATAAGAAAGGGCGATACTGCTGTAACTTTGAGTGTGTGGAGCCTAAATGTAAAATAGAGCTGCAAAGAGAGGCTGGCGACCAAGGTTGCGAGACATACTTTAGTGACCTTATGCTTCATATGTTTAGTCAACTCCCTCAGAACTGTTAAAAATAAGATGTTTAATGACAGAGTTCAAGAAGTATAAAAAGGACAGGATGGGATGTTTAAGGACAGGATCTCAGGTAGAAGGAACCTGTAAGATCATATATTCCAATTTTCTTTTACAGATGAGTAAACCAAAGTAGCAGTTAACTAACATTTTCAATAGGTAATGTGTAATCACCTTCAAATATCAGGTGAGATAGATAAACTTCTGAGTTTCAAGCCCTAGTTATTTCTACTTTGTAAGAGAACACATCGAAGCCCTGAAAGTAAGCTGATTTTCCTAATTCACAAAGCTCTTCAATACTATAGCTAGTACAAGGTGTTTCTGATTAGCTTAGTATCCATGAGGGAGCATTTAAAGTACTTTTCTAGATTAAATATTAGGTCACTGAAAATGCAAAGAAGCTATGATAGTGTCAGTATGGGTCATCTCCAGTCTGGAAATTCCCCCCTTCAAGTACAAAGCAACTCAGCTAAGACACAGGGAGTTGACCAATACACATAAAGTTAAGTGATGTGTGCAGGTTTACTGTTATTGAAGCATAGAAAGTGGTATTTGAACCTGTCTTCCTGATTTAAAGTCAAGGACCTGACATCTATAAATAGAACAAAAACTTGCTTTAGGGACGTTAATATTTTCTTACTTATGTATATAACAGAATTTCAGGCAAGAGCTAATTAGTAGTGGATAGAGGAGGATTTTTATCCTAGAATCTTAAAATATTAACAAGGGAAATAAAAAATACAGGTTTAAATTTTTTCAGTAAATAGTTAGAATTGTTGCCAATGTTTCAAGACTGAGGGGGGGAGGGGGGGAAAGAAAGAGAGAGAGAGAGAGAGAGAGAGAGAGAGAGAGAGAGAGAGAGAGAGAGAGAGAGAGAGAGGTGTTATGAGTACTATAATCTTCTCTCCTATTGCTAGACCTCTGAGAATAGGAAAAAAGGGATTAATAAAGTTACTAGAAATCCCATAAATGTCATTTTTAAAAAGTTAAGGCTTGGACACCTTTTCTTCACCAGGCTGTGGAAGTCATGAATTCCTGATTCCATTAACTCCTTGAAAGCAAGGGTTGTCTTTTATCTTTCTTTGTAACCTTAGCACTTAACACAATGCCTGGCACACGGCAAGTGCTTAATAACTGCTTGTTGACTGAATGACTAATTAAAAAAAAGTGTATGATGTGAGAGAGTGACCCATTGTCAAGATTAATAAACTATTTGCCGGCATATTCCATATTCTGTGAGCATGAGAAATAACAGGATAGTAGAACTAAGCAGGCAATATTTGATTCTTTCCAAACATTATTAATTTTCACTTATTTTAGACATATTTTGCCTACCAAGATTTTATTTGGAAAGCTCTGATTCTGGAATTTTGGAAAAAAGTAAAACATGAAAGTAATTAAATACTTATAATCCCTTAAAGCATCAAAGTACATTAAAGCACTTATTTTATCTAGACTTAATTGGGTAGTCCATTTAATTCAAAACTCAGGAACCTGAGAAACAAGGCTCACAAATTTAAAAGAAGTAAAATTAAGCAAGTAAGGAGAGAACCTGGTCCTGATGACTGGAAATTGGCACCCAAGAGTACCAGTTCTTTGAAACTAGGTAAATGTACCTTAACCCTAACTCAGTGTCAAAATAACCTCACTCCCTGCAATCACCAAAGAGGACTTCAGGTTAATTTTGTTTTCAATAACAGAAAAGACTTTAAATGATTAATCATCAGATTTAATAATTTATCTTTTTTCCTTTTCTTATACACACACACACATTTTATGTGGGGCTTGGCTCTTAAAAGCAATACTTTAGCAAAACTTAAGTTAAGTGGCCAAAGGAAGTTAATTCTATCCACTACGAGATAAAATACCAAATATGATATGCATGGAGAGAACAGTATCATCACTTCTAAGAAGTTAAGAGCACTTCTGCTTTCTTTGGGAAAAACAGAAACAAAAATAACTACACTGTAGTTCTAATTAGGTACTTCCTGCCTGTTTCAGAATAGGCAGAAACCCACAAGTGGAAATCTGTCTGCCTGAATACCTATGGAAAGAACAGGAAATACTTCTGAGTTTTAAAACACTGCCCAGTCACAAGAACAAAGCAGACACAAGTAAATACAATAAAGAGGAGTGCTACATCCATGCTCATGTCACATGTATGGAATATACCTGTACACAAAACATAGCCAAAAGGCACAACTTTTGGCCAACCTACCTTGCCAGTGAATCGTTATATAGAGTACAATTCCTTAAGCAGTGATCCAATTAATCAAAAAATGAAGGTTGTGAAAATTATTAACAATTTTTTGCCTAGTCAAAATAAATTACACTATAAATAATTTTAATTATCACAATCAAAAAGTGGAAAGTCACCTTTCTTAATTAAAGGCAACAGGTCATTTGTTGATCCTGCATTTTTCTATTCTTCTGTAAGGTTTTATTATACTTTGTAAATTATTTATTAAAACAGAAAAAGTGAATTAAACAATTTTGTAAAACTATTTGCCCTCAATTGATGTTTATGTTACGATTTGCTCAAAAGGGCAATCTCAAGTTTAGACCAAGCCATATGATACCCAGAAATTTTTGGGTTTTATATATAATACTAGATATGACTGTTCTAGCTGCCAACAAGATAAAAACAACTAGAAATAATAACTGCATCTAATTTTCATATAGCGGATTTTTTACATATTTGGTAATATAAGAAATATATTTATAGAATAATTTTGCATATTTAATACAAATTATGTTTAAATTAAAGTTAATTAAGTAACCAGCTAGATTAAAAGGATTAAAGTTAGTGTTCCAGAAAACTGATGTCTATATTGGGAGAGATGACAAGTCTGACATAATTAAGTGATCTTCAATCAAGGCATGATTTTTAATATTTATAGAGGCCAATAAAACTATTAGTATTCAGAAGCTATTTTCCAACTGTCTGTTTTCAAACACAGAAATGGGGAAATGATGCATAATATTAAATCTAAGCCCTAGATTTTTTTAAATTTTAAATTATTTTGAGTATTAATATAAACTAAAGATTGCTTGAACATGTTGACAACTGAGATCTTAACTATTTAAATGTGATTCACTTTCATGAAAGATGAATATTTGTAATTTATGAATTATACAACTAGAGAAATATAGTTTGTGGCATACAATTTGAGTCAGAAGTTTTAACAGTTATTGAAGAACAAAATCAAATGAGCTAAAAACACATTTATATTTGAAAAACATAATATACTTGAATATATTAACTATTTCTTTTAGAGAAGATCTTTTAAAAGGCTAGATGGGAGTATTTTTTGTTGCTTTCCAGCAGCTAATACAAGTTAGAAAACAATGAATCAAAGTACATACCTGATATGTTTGTGAATAAGTATAAGAATAAAAAAATTTATATAGAAGTTTAAGGTTTGAAAAGCACTTTCTTAGGCTGGCCCTGTGGGGTAGACAGTCCAAGTATTATAATCCCTATTTTACTGAGGAGGAAACAGAAGTTCAGAGAGGCGCTTGTCTTGGCATCACAAAGGTATTAAGTTTCAGAATTGGGAATCAAACCTTGGTCTTTTATTTCTAATTCCATGGTTTCCCTCTCTACTACTGTATGCTGCACAAAAAACCTTAAAATGATGTTGGCTTCTGGAAATTAAAGGAACAAAAGTAACGCAATGATTACAAAATGCTCTTCAAGTTGTTTCAAGATACCACTTATAAGAAGACATTTTAAAAGAGAAAATGTTCTAGGACAGAAATGGAAAAACGTACACATACAAACAACACAGATTTGACTCATAAAAAAACTTTTAGAGGGTAACTTAAATGGGATTTTTGTTAAAGATTCTGAAATAGACTAAACATACAGAAACCATTTTACTAATTCTTTGAGGGGGTAAATCAAATATAAGTATGAATTAAAATATGCACACTATCTCTAAAAAGGGCACTAAGTAAAGAACATAATGAAAACATCAAGAATTAATGGAATCCATTAAAAGAATGAAGTCAATTAGGTTTAAAAAATATTTTCAAAGCTGTATTACTGATGATCTTTAGTATTCATACAGATTTTGGGTCCTCATTTTCTAGAGTTTAGTATAACAATATTTTTTGATTGACACAAAAGAGATATAAACAACAATTTGATACTCATGCTCCTTTGTGGTTTGAAATTTGGAATACTGTAGAATCTGTCCAAGGCGGTTATTATTAGATGAAATGGAATTTTACCATCACATTTTTTATCTCTGACCTGTCTTCAAATTACAATGTCCCAATAAAATTCTAGTCTTTAGGTTAAGTCAAGTTATATGGTTCAGTTACTCATGGAATAAAAACATATTATAGCCTGAAGACTAATGGAAATAAGAATTGTCACTTATATTTAGTTTAAAATGGAGTTTTGTATTTCACTTTATAATAGTGAGGGGCTGGTCATTTTGTGAAGTACCCTTTTCTAAAAATATTGAACTGATCCACCTATGTACAAAAAATTGTCATTATTATTATTAATAATATAAATCTTAACACTTAAAAACACTCTATTACAGAATAATTACAACTTTGGTCCGATTATAATAGTAAAGATAATTTAAATAATTCTCAATTTTGCATTAATAAAAACTTTACTTACTTATTTCCACCTAAAAAATAACTGCTCTGGTGTCCTTGTCCATATTCTAGTTGAAGATCCTAATTTTACAAAGTAAAATACTTGGTAAGATGAAAAAGCCATGTTAAAACCAGAACTCAGTTATACATTATACCGAAAGAATAAAATTATAGATAAAAAGAAATCTATATTGCTTATGTTTTGAAAGTTGCAATATATTTAAAGACCTATAATAAAAGAACTAAGAATTTGTAGTTATAAATATTTTAAACTTATTTCTAAAAGTGCTTAGACTACATAAACAATTGCCATTTTAATATAATTCATGTCTAAACCTGATCATTAAAACAACTACAAATGAAATTATTTTAAAAATTGCATTTAAGACCAAGTTACAATTAACTAGGTATTATGACAAAGCACAATAATGATGGACCGCTTTGGTTTGGTTTGGTAGATAAAACAAAACATAGATGTGTTTTTCTATCACCTTCTGCTTTATTTTCCCTGGGTTAAAAAAAAGAAAAGAAGGGGCAGCCAGGTGGCGCAGCGGATGGAGCATGGCCCTGAAATCAGGAGGACCTGAATTCAAATCTGGCCTCAGACTGAACACTTGACACTTACTCGCTGTGTGACCCTGGGCAAGTCACTAACCCCAATTGCCCAAAAACAAACAAACAAACAAAAAATAAATAAAAGAAAAGAGAAGAAATAAGCTGCATCTTTGAAACAAATCTGTAAGATTATACAAGACCAAAGCCTGTAAAAGGCTTAGTTTTTCAATGTTTTATAGGAGTAAACTAATATTTTAATGGGCAAATCATTAGAAATTACAACTGAATACTAAAACTTGCTTTTCAATTTAAAACATTCCATAATTTAAAATCAGAAGTATACTGACATCTATTATTAAGCTAAATATATAGTACAGACATCCTATTAGTGCTCAAAAGATTTATGCCTGGCATTAGTGATACTGAAAATATCAGTACAAGCCACCTTGGCTACACCTTTGCGGATTATAGGTATCAGAGCTGTGGAAGAGTGAAAATCAAACAATTCAAACCCAAGCATTTGGTTAGGAACTAAAATGGTTTTTATGACCATGGAGGGCATGTCAAAAGATGCCTTCTCCCACCGATGAGCCTATAGCCCTTATTTACACTGTATTTCAAAAAGTGTTATAGAGCTAAATATTTAACATTTTATTTTCCTAGTATAATTTGCATTTATGGTGTTTTTTTTAAATGAATTTATAGTTCTTTTTCAAGGTGGCATTAACTGTTGTCTATATTAGTTTTCCTGTTCTATAAATTTTGCATCTTTGGCCTAGCAGGATACATAAATACAATTCTCTACCACAAACACTGTAAGTTCAGAGATATAAGCTAGGATAATTTATTTTTACATTTCACAGAAGTGAAAAATCTCTATAAAATCTGCTTTCTGAAATCTGTCAAAAAGTTTTCAGTGAAACTGAAAACGCATATACTGCTTTAGACAAAGCTTAAATCTGCTTCCTTTTCTTTTTCTTGCAGCCAGGGTGAGTGGAGTATCTACTATACATAATAATGTAATTTATTACCAGAGACAATAAGAAAATAAAATACTCTATAGTTAAAAAGTTATATATGTATATATCTATATATATCTATATCTATATATCTATATACATATGAAATTCTAATGAAAAATAAAGCCATTTTACTTATTATGATATTTCTTAAAAGGATAAAATCAAAATGTTATCCCAGTGCTTGCAAACAATAAAAAAAGAATTCAAATTGCATGTGGTATTCAAAATTCTTCATGTTAACTTTTCCTTAGCTCTTTACCTTTTTGGTACTATTTATTTTTAGTTATTGTAACTTTCTTTAAAAAACACATTTTTATATTAGTATTATTACCATGAGAAGTCCTAATGACTATGGATACAATTCTAACCCCAGATATTTTTTCCTAAACTTAGAGATAATCTATCTTAGATAAACTTAGAGATAACACCTATCTACCAGAATAATGTGAATGACAAAAATGGCAAAATTCCCTAAGGATGTTCATCTTTAGCTCAGCTAGTTACGCTAACTCCAAGACTGTAGTCTTTTCACATATGACAGAAGTGGACAAAAACTATACAGAATAAAGCAATAATTTCGATTGCATAAGCACCAAGCAAGTCAATTTTATTAAGAACTGTGGTAGGATCACCTGATTACATTAATAACAAAAATTTGTTGGCAGCGAAAAAATAATAATTACCAAATGAGGTTAGAGATCTTCTAGGAAAGGAGGAAAAAAGTAGACTTGAAATCACGTAAGTGGAATTTTATAAGTAATTCAGCAAAATTTGGAATGAGTGGAAAGAAGCATATGTAAGCAAACAGATTTTTATGGGTGGTTACAAAGGCAAGTTTAGATAAAGAGAGATCTACAAAATGGGCCAAACATTAAAAGTAAGCTAAATATGAAATGTTCACATATTAACAATCATTTACTTTACCACTTCATTTAGACAGCACTTCACACAGTAAAGAAAAAATAAACATGACAGAGACATGTGAAACTATGGTACAAAAGCCCATGATGGTGATAATACTATATTCAACATAATCTTAAGATTTTTTTAAAGTATTTTTTAGATAAAGAATTTGAAAAGAACAGTGGAATATTTATTTGGAGTAAAATGAAAAAAATAAAATAACCTTTATTGCTACCTTGAAGTTCTTCAAGATAATAACAATTCATTTAAAAAATATTTCAAGGATTTGTAATCTCATTGGTACAGATATCTCCTCCATAATGCACAGTACAAACCTTGTGCCTAAGTTGACAGGCTTTCTGAGTTTCTGTGGCTGAAAAAAAACCTAACTACTTGGTAGAGTACCTTCTAATGACATGTGGGCCAGGACAGATGGACAAAAATAATCTGGTAGTGGTAATCAGATAACAACTTGCTAATCAATGACTATTTTTGGCTTCATAAAGAGTAAAGATAAATTAGTAAACATGGGGACAGGAAGATGTTGTTGGCCTACAATTTACCTAACCCTAGGAATCGAAGTCCAAGATGACCCATTTAAAAGGGACAGAAAGTCATAGCTTAAATGGTTCATTTGAAAAATAACTTCCAAAATTTGGAAGACCTAAAGAAAAGTGAGGTAGTTAATAAAAAAAGAATTGGGAGAGAAAAGAAAGATATTTGAAATGGAACAACAGAAACAGAAAGGATGAGTTCTATCAAGGTAGCTATACAATGGTAGAAATCTTCCAAAATGAAGTCTACACATAGTAAGATAAAATGTCTAAAAATATGAAACAAATATTTTAGCAAAAACACTCCAATAATAAAGGAAAGCAATAGGCTAAAAATGTTTTACTATAATATTTGAGAAAAGTAGGGTTTGAATAAGGATGTCTTCAGGATAGTCAAAGAAATGCTAAACATTGAATTTGACAGAAAAAAAGTCATAAGATTTGTTGTAGAAGGCTAATTAAGTAAAAAAAAAACTTGAATCACAAGACTATCAGAAGTGAACCTAATGATTGAATTACATCACAGTGAAACGTTGATTTTTAACAATGTCAGAAAATAGTGTGAAGCAAAAGACGAATTGACCAAGTATTATTAGACTACTAGAGTGTGGTGAGGATTTTTTATTTACACTTTTAAAAAGGAAATTTGGCAGTCTAAAAGTTTCATAACATGTAAAATTTCAGAACATTCTGTGAAATTCCAAAACTAGTTTTGTCTTAATAAGTAGGCAAACAAGATTGATTACCTTACATTAATTTTATAACAACTTATTCTAAATCATACTATACTTAAATTTGGCATTCTTCAATGATTTATGAGAATAAACTTTCATATACCATGTTTTTTATGTGGAAGGCATTCAATATTGATTAACTGTATTATAACACTAGGTAAACGTCAAAAGATAAACTTAGGAAAAGGTAGTACCGGTAGGGGTGACATGCAACATATCTTTTCTATTTCATGATGGATAAAAGGACTCTGGCAGGTTGCTTTCTTTCCTAATTTCTGAAAATAATGTGAAGTATAAGTACTAACTGTTCTTTAAAAATTTAACAGAATTCTAAAAAACTGTAAAAGGTTGAGAGAATTCTGATTTTTTCTTCAGTAGTTCCTTTAGAGGGATATCTATTCGCTTTTCTGAGATTGAGTTATTTAAGATCTCTATCTGGTCTTCTGAGAGTTTGAGTATTTTATATTTTTGAAATAATCCTATTTTTGCGTTCTCAGATCTGTTAGCATGTAAGTGTGCATAAATAATATGCACAGTAACCACAACAATGTAAATGGAAAAAAGCTATGCATTAATAAATCAAAAGTACATGTAACAAAATCATAGAGATGAAGTGGGATGTGAATGAGGAAAGATATGAGAAGACACCTCCAATCCACTCCTCCATGGAGGTGGAAAGTCCACAGGTGTACCCACTGCACATGCTTTCGGACTCTTTCAATGTATTGACTAGTTGTGCTAATTTTTTATCTTAGCTCTCTACAGTTTCCTAACCTCAAGAGAATGAGTTTGGATTAGATAATCTTTACTACCCTTTCCATTCTGAAATTCTATGAAATGACTACAATTTGACAAGATGCCACCCCAGCTTCTCTGGCCCACCCTCATCTTTCTTTCTGACTCCTATAGTGCTGGTCGTCTGTATCACACACTTTGGCACTTGACTCTATCTTGTGCTGTAATATGTTTCAGTTCTGTTTCCCCCACAAGACTCCAAAGGTCAAAGAGCTATGCCATAGATTTCCTTACAGTGTCTAGCACAGTTGAAGCATGCATAAAGTACTCAATAAATACTTGTCGAACTGAACTGAATTCATGAAAATTATATTTTAGGTCCAAGAGACATGTATAAAGCACCCAAAGACGGGACCTTGGAATAAGACACATAATTTTTTTACAGGTGGGTTAAGGACAGAGGGAGAAGACTTTAAATTTAGTTTGATATCTGTTACCTTATCCAGTCACATTCAACTTCTAATAATCTCCTTTAAATGTTCAGATGTTCTTACTACCAATGGCTTCAGTGATGACAAGTGTAGGATAATATAAAGTGTTGGTGTAAGAAAACTGAGCATGGCCCAATAATTCTTCTTTTAAAAAAATCATCCATAGTGATTAAGTTTTTAAAAAATATTGTTCTTTTTAGTATGTGGAAAACACTCTGCATTAAAACAGTAAAGAGACATCCAAAAGGAAAATATATGAGTGTTGCCAAATTAACTTTTGTGTTTGAGTACAAACAATAAATGTTAAGGTAAATACTGAGTCATCATAAAAACAATAACAATTTATCCAGAGAAAAATTATATCTGGATCAGTAAAAATTATTACTCCTTAATATATGGTAGTTTGCTAATGCTAAACAAAATAAACTACTAAAAATAATTAACATGATGCAACCAGACAAAATGTTAAGTGCTTTGTAAAGAAAATAAATATAAGACAAAACCAATGCTGACAAAGAAAATCAGAAGATGAGAAATACCAGATTAGATCTTGCAGTGTAGTATATTTCTTCTGAACTGTCCAAAAAATCGTCACTGTCGGGCTGTTTAGCAGACAGAGACCAAGAAACCCAAGTTATTTACACTCAGAACAAAAGCCACAAATACACAAAGGGAAATTTTCACAAGTGGGATAAGTCCTGCCAACATAATTTTGTTAAGGCAAATGCAAAGTTATATTATATTAAAGAGCTTCAGAAAAAGCATCTACAATAAACTTTGCATGAAAATATTAAAATTTTAGTTTAGGGTTTGAATACACACAATGACAACTTAAGGAGGTAGGAAGAAGCAAAATGAACAAAAGCTGCCTTAACAAAACACAATTAGCATTTGTCAATTTCATTTCAATTTTCTCGATATTTCCCACCTCTACTTATACTTCCTAGCTATCATAAATGAATTTTCCTTTACTCTTCTGTGGATTATGTACTGAATTGGACAATTTCCACAAGAAAGCTAAAGATTCCCTCTGCTGGTGTAAAAAAACTGACCAAGTACGTTTAAATATTAATAAGAAATTTGCCTCCTCAGTCTTTATTCCTTGATACTCATATTCCTGTCACTACTCTATAACAAGGTAAAAAATTAACTAGATTTAAGATAGATTTACAAGTTGGATATAAAAAGCTTTATTGGAGGTAGTGATTTTGTCAAGGAAGTATAATTTTAAAAAGTAAGTTTCAACTCCCTCCTTAATATAACACAAATGATCTGAATTATTTTAAGTAATTTCCCTTTTAAGAATGTGTCTAACATTACTAAATATCTTAGGAAAACTTGAACGAAGGGCAGATTCTTTTTTTTTTTTCTGACCCTGTGATTTCATCTCTATAGGGAACTACTATTGAAAAAACTCTTCAAAAAACAGCAACTGGCCTGCAATTAACAGTTGCATTTAAAAACAGTGACTTGGAGGCACTGAGGTTAAGTGACTAGCTCATGGTCACACAGCCAGTGCATCTGGGCAGAGATGAGAAAACAGGTCATTCAGTTTAGTTTACTTTAAGAACTGAGTTAAATTTAGCACTCTGATCATATTCTGTACTACACTAAAGTTTTGTAAATTGACCTCTGTGCTTAAAGACATTATTTAGTTTGAAAATGAAATCTTTACTGGGACAACATTCTAATTTAAACCCTTGGGAAGTTAATACCTTACTGTACACAAGAAAATCCAGCCACAAAAACTGAAACATATAAACAGCGGAAAAAAAGGGTCAACTTAAAAAAAAGTTTAAACAAAGAATATTAAAATTACCATTAAAGTTATTCCACTAGTTTATTAGTGATGTGTGAGTCCAGATGACCTATAATAATTGATAATCAATCTTATTAACAAATTTGACAATTTTTGAAACTGCTTACCTTACACTTCCCAAATGCTTTAATAAATATTACCAACACTTTTTTTTGGGGGGGGGCAACATTGGTATATCACAAAGATTAAACAAAATATATACATCATCAGAGTTAACAATCACAGCTTATATTACTTACCAGCTCATGATGTGGCTCCGTCTCCTTTCTTAAGGGCGGATCAAATTTTACTTGCCCAACTATCAAAAAGAAAAAAAAGTTTGTTAAAAAAAATTCTTAAGAGTAATTGCATTGAAATGTTACTCAGTGACAAAAAATGCTAAATTTCTAATGCTGTGCTACTGGCCTAACAGTAAAAAAGTAAGAAGTTTCTTATAAAGGAGGAGAAGAGAGACACAGAAAGGAAGGGGGTGGGAGATATTAAACTTAACTGGCATTTCTTTAGATCTTACAAATTTCCTTTCCAGTACTGACAATTTTTTAAAATAACGGATAATGAAAGGACTCTTTAAAACCAGGACCTCATTTGCTGCTTTGTTCAGTCTTACTATTAGCCATCCAGTCAACATAATCACCTCAGGTAGGGCAAAGTGCAGTCGGACAGCGTTCCACTATTCAATTCAATTCAACCAACATTTAAGTGCCTAAGAAATATAAGGCACTGGGGATCCAAAGACAATCACAAAATAATCATGGCCCCTAAGGAGTTTACATTCCATTGATGAGATACAGCACATATAGAAAGTACATCCAGTACATACAGAGTAATTTCAAAAGGGAGTAGTGCATACTGGAAAGAAAACCAGCTCTGGAGTCTGAGGACATGGATTCAAATCCCACTTTCAATTATTATGACAGGAGTAGTACCGTTCAGCCACTAAAGTTCATGTCTGACCATGTCACCTCCACTCAATAAAGTCCAGTGGCTCCTTATCGCCTCTGGGAGCAAACACAAAGTGCTCTGTTTGACATTCAAGGCCCTTCATAAGTTAGCCCCCTCCAATCCTTCCATTCTTCTTCCACCTTACTCCTTGACACACGTATAGTGACACTGGCCTCCTGGATGTTACACGAACACACTTGATCCTTTGCATTTTCTCTAGTGTCACCTGTGCCTGGAATGCTCTCCATCCTCATCTCTGCCTACTGATTCCTTTGGCTTCCTTTAAGTCCCAACTAAAATTTCACCTTCTACTAGAAACCTTCCACAACTTAAATCTGGTATATTCTGTCTTTAAATTATTTCCTACTTATCCTTGCTTTGTATGCTTGTTTGCATGAGTTCCCTGCCTTTTGCCTTTTTGTGTATTCCTAGTGCTTAGCACAGTATCTGGCACACAGGTTGGGAGGGAAAAATGAGTTGTTTTGGATATACTGAATTAGAGATATTGATAGGGGGGCAGCTAGGCGGTGCAGTGAATAGAGCACCAGCCCTGGAGTCAGGAGGACCTGAGCTCAAATCCGTCCTCAGACCAAACACTTGACACTTACTAGCTGTGTGACCCTAAGCAAGTCACTTAACCCCAATTGCCTTTAAAAAAAAAAAGAGAGATTGATAGGATACTAAATTTGAAGTGTTGAATTTTCAAGTTCATGATGTGCAATGGAACCCAGAAAAAAATAGTGGAGAAACAGTGGAAATACATATTTAAATATACAAATCTATGAGTCATCTACATAGAGATGATAATTAAATTCATGGGAACTGATGAATTCATGAAGAAAGAACGTTGTGAGAAACAAATGAGGTAACACATTTTAAGTGCTTTGCAAACCTTAGAACACTATTTAAACATAGATATTACTTTCACTGTTCTACAGATAAGAGGGTGCTGAAAGATGGTGGTACTACTAACGTGAACAGGAAGTCAGGAAGAAAAGTAGATTTTAGGGAAAAGAGAATGAATTTAGTTTTGAACATGTTAACTATGAGTTGCTTGTTTGACAATCTGATGGAGAGATTTGTATTAAGTAACATAACTGAATGTTGTAATACTCCTTTAAAACATTTAAGATATTGGGGAAAAAGTGGGGACAGAAGCATAAAACTTCAGAGTCAAGACAAAATTAAAAAAAAACATTAAACAAAACATTTCATTAAGACCCCATTGTTTGCAAGGCAGAATTAAGACACTAGGTATCTGGGAGGGGAAAAACAAAGTCCTTTCTTTCATGCTCCTCCGATACAATGTTCAGGGATCTTTCTAAGGATCTTTTCCTGCTAAGGACACAAAAAAACTATCCTTCTGTAATTAAGTACTTGTTCAGAGACACTATTACCAAAAAAATTTATCACCATGAAGCCAACTAGGTAATGAGTTTACTGAGCTTGTCTGAATCTAGGAAGGTTGGTTCTCGTAAGACAGACATTCTCTTCCCCTTCTATACTATTTCACTTGGTAATTTCATGACCTCTCATGGATTTAGTTATTATTTCTTTGTTGATGACTCTCAAACCCACCTATCCTGCCCTAATTTCTCTGCTGATTTTCCATCTCACATCTCCAATGGCCTTTTAGACATCTTGAACCAGAGTTCCAGGAGACATCTTAAACTAAACATGTCCAAAACCAAACTCATTCTCTTTCCCCCAAACCCTCCCCACTTCTTACCTTCCCTATTATTGCAGAGGGCAATACCATTTTCCTAAGCCCTCTGGCCTGGAACCTAGGTATTAACCCCAACTCCTAATAAGCTCTCACCCTCCATACCTAATCCTTTGATTTCATCTTTGCAATATATCTCTATGTTACCTTCTCTCCTCTGACACTGCCACCACTCTGGTACGGATGCTCATCATCTCATGCCTGGACTACTGCAATAGCCTGCTAGTGGATCTGCCTGCCTCAAGTCTCTCCGTTTCAATCTAGTCTCCATTCAGTCACCAAAATGATTTTCCTAACGTGTAGGTCCAATCTCGTCATGCCCCAAATCAATAAACTTTAGTGGCTCCCTATCACCTCCAGGATCAAATATAAAATCCTGTTTGACATTAAAAGCCTTTTATAAACTAGCCCCCTCCTCCTTTTCCAGTCCTTTTATACCTTATTCCAACAAATACTCTTCTATCAAGGGCAATGGTCTCCCTGCTGTATCACCAGCAAGACACTTCATCTTGGGGCCCCAAGCATTTTCTCTGGCTGTCTCCCATACCTGCAATGTTCTCCTTCCTCACATCTGCCTAGGGGTTTCCCTAAAATCCTTTCTTCCACAGGAAACCTTCCCAAACCCCTCTTAATTCTATTGCCTTCCCTCTTTCAGTTATTTCCTATTTACACTACATATAGCCTGTTTGTACATACCTGTTTGCTTGTTGCCTCCTCCCATTAGACCATGAGCTCCTTAAGGGCAGGGACCATCTTTTTGCCTCTTTTTTCCATCCCCAGCCTATAGCACAGTGCCTGGCACATCACAGATGCTTAATAAATGTCTACTGACTAGTTGACTGTAGCTCATCCTGTATCTTTCCTACTTTGTGGTAGACTTCTCCCTTTCTCTATTCTACTCTGTAGAAAGGCATCCATGACACAGTGGAACCTGTTTCAGGGTTGGAAAGACCTTGATGTGAGTCCCACCAATGATACATACTGGCTGTATGATCCTGGGCAACTATTTAAGACTTAATGTTTCAGAACAGTTGCTAATATACATTGATAGAAGTAGTTTACTCACCAGGGAATTATACATAACATAAAACATGTATACTCTGTACTGACACATTATATAATAAAGAAATAACTCTTTTCAAAAGATCTCTAGCCAAAGTTAGGGGAAAACATTAAGGGTTATTCAAAGTGAAGAAGCAAATGTACAGTTAAATGAACTTATGACAAGAACAAGAAAACAATAAAACTCATTTCTAAGTAAGAAAAAGAAAACAGGCTTTGTTGAGAAAAAGTTTCCACTTTTTGGAAGTGGCCAGCCTTTGCTTTTCCTTTTGCTATGACACGAAAGCCAACCAGATCTGATGCTGTTCAGTTTTTATTTCTTTCCCTTTTTTAAGCTGAGAGGGATAGCACTGTGGGGGAGAAAAGACAATGGCCAGAAAGACCAATAACTTCAGTTGCTTACTTTCCAATATTGCCCACAGTTGGTACAGGAACTATTGTGAAAACATTTATTATGATGGGTCATACGTATGTGTAAGAGAGAAGCAGGCTAAGTGACTAGGAGAGATAGAAAGTTTAGAAAAGCTACACAGTCTCTGCCGTTAAGAAATTTAGAAGAGGGATAAAACAAAAATGTAGATATGGTAACTTTAATACATGTTATGAGATCAATAATCAGGTGGTTACAAAACAGATTGTTACAGTGAGATATAAAGAGACCAGAAAATTGTTAATAGAAGGCAGAAAAGACATCATAGGAGGGGAGCCTCTGAGAAGCCTCAATTAAAGAAATGGCATGTGAGATTTTAATTAGGCTTTGAGTGATGCATAAAAAGTCAACAGGAAGAGTGGGAGGGAGGCCATCTTGGAAAGGGGAGATCAAAGGCAAGTATAGGAAAAGGTTTATAAGTTATATATTAGGGGGGAGGTAGAGAGTGGTCTAACCAACGCGGATTTTAGCAAGACTTGGCAAATGACTGGATTTGAGGCTAAGGTGAGAAAGATTGTAGATGACTGAGCTTGTGAGTATTTTCCTCATGTTTTCCTTTCAGTTTCTTTCAAAACTGAACTCAAATATCATTTTCTCTATGAGGCTTTCCATTATTGTCTCAATTGTCAGTGCCTTTCCACTCCTTTCCCCATCATCTTCTATTTATGGTATGTGCATGTGCACATGTAAGAGCTCCTTGAAGGTAGTCTCTGTATCATAATGACCTAAAAAAAGTATCTAGCACATAGAAGGGCTTAATAAATACTTACTTATTAACTAAACCTGGATGACTGGAAGAACACTATTGTTACTCAACAGAAATAGGTATTTGGAGGAAGGTCTGGCTTAGGGGAAAAGATAGCAAGGCATTTACTTTTAGACACGTCTGCATGGAGACAGACAGACTGAGATGCCTAAGGAATACCTAGTTAGAGTTGTCCAATAGCCAACTGTTAATGAGGAATGGTAACTTAAGAAAGAGAAACAGCTGTTTACACAGATGTGGAAGTCATCTGCAAATATAATTGAATCTATGGGAGTTGATGAGATCACCAAAAGTATTGGTACAAAGAAAGGGCCACGGACATGCCTTACAGGATACCAGGTTAAGGTGTAGGACCTAGATTATAACCCAGCAAAT